GCTTAAGTTAGCATCTCTCAGTTGGTCAGAGTCCACACGTTGAGACCTTAAATCTCCCTGAATTCGCCACGTGCACCCAATTCTCTCCCGCGTCGTACATCTATCCGTTAGCCCTATCTCTTTCCTCCTCTTTCTCTCTCCTCTGTAATTCTTCCCTTCCGTCAGAGGAGAAGGAGAAGAAGAAGAAGAAGAAGAAAAGAGGAGAATAGAGCAGGAAGTAGAGAGCTGGAAAGTATTGAATAAGGGAAAGCGGAGGTTTTTTTTTTTTTTTTTGGGGGAAGGAATGGGGAAATTATTCTGTGATTCAACGACTATTGCGGGGACTTTTCAAACTACATCGCCGACGGTGCCGTGGAGGGACCCACAGTCACCGGATTTAGAGGCCGTGGATCTTTTTGATCAGGCGAAGGTGGTAACCACGGCTGCAACGTGGGATGACGTGGTTGGCCTAGAGGACCAGCAGAGACGGCAGCTGCAGAAGCTACACGCGAAGGGGGTGCTGTGGAAGCAGCCAGGGGATCACGGCTCCTCGGTCGTGTTCCGGCTGTCGCATGGAGGTGAGGTGTCCTCCGACGGGAACTGCCTCTTCACGGCTTCGCAGAGGGCTATGGCGCGTGATGTCGACGCGCCGGAGCTCCGAAGGCGGACGGTGAAGCGGTTCTTGGAGGATCTTGGATCTGCTAGCGAGGAACGGAGAGAAGGGATTACTGATGCAATTAGGCATATGTACTCGCCGGATCTGAGGAGCGGATGGGGTGTTCATGTGGTTCAAGAGGTTAAGTTGTTGGCCAAAAAGGAGGATCGCATTGCCTTGGACTCCGCGATTGATGAACTCGTTCAGCTAGGAATGCAGAGGTATTCATTAAAAAAATCACAGCTTTCTTGGTTGTCTGCTTGGATCTGTGCGCATTTGATTATGGGTCAAGAGTTTAGACGTTTTAACTAATGTATATCCGTTTGGTTCCTGAGAAAATGTAGGAAAAGATAAGAAAAAAAATGGAAATTCTGAAATTCTATTCCTTTTGTAATTTCTAGGTAGAGATATAAAGTTTTTGAAAAAGGGAAATTCAAGAAAAGGATTAACTTCATTAGAATTTATTTATTTTGCCCTTTTACCAGAGATAAAATTCAGGCAGATATTAGAATTAGAGGTCTTATTTATTGGTATTTTAAATTTTCAAAAAAGAAGAAAAAATGGATTTTCCTAAGCTTGAGGGTGATGACATTTGTTGAAAACATTTCTTATGTCTGTTTATTTACATGGGAATGTTTTTGTTCACTTAATATTTATGTCTAAATTTCAATTTTGTACTTTGAATATGCAAATTTTGCTATGATGGTTCTTTGAGAAATTTTGGATGTGTTGATTCATTGAGATGTTGATATAAAGATTGTTGTAGCATTTAATGTTATTGATTTTTTATTGGTTACTTTTTTCTGATTGAAGAGAAATGGCGGCAGAGTCTATATACAAAGAGAGATGTATTCCAGTGAATGATGGCCCGAGCTGGGCCAAATACATGTCCATCTCTGGTTCACCTGATGATGATGAATATGATATCATCACTTTGCAGTATACCGAGGAGGGTTTGTTATCAGTTGATGAGAATAGAGGAGGTCATGCTGCAGCTTTTGGTGATGATATAGCCATAGAGTGTCTCGCAACGGAGTTCAAGCGACAGATATATGTGGTAAAGTATACTTAACAGAGACTATTTTTCCCAATCTGTGTTTAAAGATCGAATTGGTTTAGGAGTTTTATAAATTTCATCATATGGACACTAAAATTTGATTGTCCTATTTGTTTCTTTTGTTTTTTCAAAATTTTTGTGGTGTGCATATGTGAGTCTATTTGCATGTACCATCAACTTTTTTGATTAAATGTGATTGTTCCAGTTGCCTGCTAGATTTCTGTTCGTGAAAAAGTGAGTTAATTGGTAAGTTCACATCCCTGATTAATTTCATGATAGATTGAGATAGGTGTTTGCTAAATCCTCTTCCTTGTCCCTCTTGATAAAGAAAGCATTCTCTGTTAAGTCAGCATGCCAATCTTAGTGGTCTCAGTCAGTTTCTTTGGCCCCTCATTACAATGCTTTTTTTTTTAAAAGTCTAAATTAGAGGGAATAGACAGTCATTATTGAAAAACATTTATATGACTGTAATATACATCATTTTCATCTCTTTCCTCTTTTGTTTCTTTGTCCCACTAATCAACGATCCTTGATAGACCCACTCTTTTTCCTTCATTAGCATTGCTTAAGTTGCTTCCAGCTCAGGGATATAAAGGGTCCACTTTATTGAATGTTCTCCCTTGATAAGTCCTGTTTGTTTGGACAAGTGTGTCCAGTTCATTCAACACAGTCTTTCAAATTGTAACTGTAGTTTTGTTGAGGACATGATGCAAATTGATATGGCTGATGAATTGGCTAAATAAAGGATGGAATACAGAAGAAAGCCAGGAAAAAAAAACAATAATAATGGAGGATGGGATACAGACACACACACACACACACATGCCATCAGTCATGGGTGATATTTATTGCCTTTTACCGTAAGGACATGATGCAAATTGATAGTGCTGCAGATCTAGAATTGCACAGTAGTCATTGGAATAGGATCTAACCATAATTTAGTTGATGATAATTGAGAGCTTTTAAATTAACTGTTTTTGTTATGGGGAAATTTGAGAGAGAGATAAGAAAATGGACCTAAATATAATAAAATTGCTGTTTGTTTTACACGGTAGATCATCGATTTTTGTCATTTGTTTTCTCTGTTTTACTTTAACTTGAAACTTGGGGTTTAACCTCTGCTTGTAGGTGCAAGCACATGGATCAGATGCAATGGTTGAGGAAGAAAATTGTGTTTTCTTCCTTCCACATCATCCAAGGAGTGAAATTTGCGAACCTCCCTTCTTTTTGTTTATGAAAGGAACAGGTAACTGGTTTTTCATCAGTTCCACCTCTGGTGCTTAACTATAATGTGTTTATCACATCACTGCAATTGCATATATAAATTCTTCCTCACATGTAGGTTGGTGTGGTGCTGGAGCTGATCATTATGAACCTTTAATTGCCCATCCTTCTTCTCTCAATTCCAATGAGAAGGTTGCTTTTGTACTCTGAGGGCACAAGCCAACAGTTTTGTGGCTTAGGGATCAAATGGTAGAAGTAGTTCACATTTTTTCTCTCTCCAATGTCTAGATGCAAGAATTTCATTGCATATAATTCATTTTTTCTCTTAAATATTATCTACAAATGGGTCATGAGACTACAACCCGCAGGTTTCATGTCTGCCCTCGAGCAATCCCGTAGTGGGATTTTGTAGTGGTTTTCGCCGGCTTCTTTTGTTGCTGTGTTTGCTGAGTTGAGGATTCTTGTCTAGAACTGGAATAGAACATCCTGTTGTATCTTAGCATGAACTCTGTATCAACTATCGAGTTCTATTCAATGATCAAAATTCTTTCTTTGGGTCGCATTTCCTGTCTTATACATGATCAATCTCAAGCCTCAATCAAATTTTCATTCTTGCACTACTGGAAGTTCGGACCGAATGTTTCTTCTTTGTAGACTTCCTTGCATGGACATATTTGCCTAGCAAGTATGGAGGATGCCGTCACCTGGATTCTGGAAAAAGTGGTTCAGTTAGGATTTCGAACTTATAAAAATGGCATTGATTAGGTGTTCTTTAATTTATCGAAAACAGCATCGGGGGAAAATAGGTCTATATGGGGCAAAAAAAACATTATGATGTGACAAAACTTAGGACCAACATTATATTCTACTTATTTAATGACTTTGATCTACGTTTTGATTTATTCTTCAACACCCCTGTTCAAAGGGTCGAGCTGCCATTCTGGATGAAGGGATCTCTTTGGATAAAAGGAATTTTAGGAGTGTCAACCACTTTCCACTTTTATTTTACAAGTTCATGATAAGGAACAGTTCACTTCGGTTTAATAGCACGTATCTTAAGTTAAGATCATTCACATATTGTGGATTATATGTTTGAGGTTAATGGATTTTATTTCTCTTTCCTCACTTAACTAATATATATAACTAATTTTAATATGATAAAAAATAATAATAGCAAGAATATACAAATACAGAGTTTGTATTTCATGGTTACGACGCAAATAAAATTTGCTTCTAAATATTCTAGACCGCTACCTATACTAAAATTTGTTGACCCCAAATTTCTTAAGTACTCAAATTCATATATCTGCAAATCATGTCTCACAATAGAGGACTAATGAATTGGCTTCAAGCCACCTTTGTTTGTTTACCCTTGCTATGAACTCTTCAACCCTTTTATTTAGTTCCTCTGCAGGCAATCCACCCTCCTCTTCTCCACCTCCACCATTCTCTTCCTCATCTTCTCCACTCACTATTGCTGGAGGCAATCCTGGCTCCTCTTCTCCATCTCCTTCCTTCTCTTCATCTTCTTCAGCTATTTCAACTTTTTCTCGGTTTTGTTCCTCTTCCCCATGACCTCCTTCCTTCTCTCCATCTTCTTCCACTATTTCAACTTTTTCTTGGCTTTCTTTCTCTTCTCCATGATCTCCTTCCTTCTCTTCATCTTCTTCTACTATTTCAAAATTTTCTCGGCTTTCTTTCTCTTTCTCCACTTCTGTGTCTTCAACTTTATTCACTGGTTTTATCATAACTTCCTTCTTTTCTTCTACCTTCTCGTCCTTCATCTTCGCGCAAGCAGATGTGACTCTCCTGAGACTCTGAGTCCTTTTAACATATTCATCATAAATTTCATCAGCTGGGGAAGAGCTTGTGCTTACCATCTTTGATTCTCCAACAAGGAAGATGACGATGACATTAACCACGACGAATAAGAACTTCGGATTAGAGAAGGAGGACCAAATATATGGGAGAGAAATTAAGAAAAAATGATTCATGGAATAAAATACAGAAGTGAACCAGTAAGGGCTGGTGCAAACCAAACTGCATGTTATTGCAGTCAGAAAATGAAGTACGAGGTTGCAAAGAAGATGTTTCTTCTTGTAACTTTTAATGGCTCCAAACTTCTCTGCCTTAGTCGAACCCATTGTTGAATTCCGGAGAGAGATTTGAGGAGAGTTGTTGAAGGAACAAGGAAGAGGAATATTTGAGAGGATTTAAACAGGCTTAATAGTGGACATTCACATTCACGTCTGTCTGAACATATATAAAGCAGTAAGAGCAATGGGTTATATAGAGTGGGGGGAAAGGGGATCATGGATATTTTGGTGGGATTCAAGAGATGCTTCTTTTTACTTTTCCCCCATTATTTTGTATCGATGTCTACTTTATAAAAAAGCATAGCCGGTTGAGAATGTGACTTATATTGGTGCTAGCCTCGTCACCTCCTTTCCCGTGTTCTCGTTGATGGTTTTAAATTTCCATTGAATTTAAACAAATGAACTAGGTTATAGTTTAGTTTGGATTAAAAACAAATGTCATATATAATAGGGTCATAAATAATTTGAGTTAAGTTGAGTTTTTTAAAACTCTAATTTAAACTCAATATAACAGTAATGAATTAAGTAGAATTTAAGTTTTTATCGAATTTGAAGTTGACTCTCAAGTTTAACTCTCAAACTCGAACTAATTAACTCACAAGTAATTAAGCGTTTAACTTGTAAACTCAAAGTGGACTTGTGAACTCGATTGAATACTTAAATTTAATTTAAGATTTAAGTTAAAATAAGATTATAATTTTAAATATTTAATATATATGTATGTGAATTAAAATGAAAAAAAAAAAAATCTCACTTGTTATGTTCGCACTTAAAAAATACCTCTCATCTATCTCAACGCAAGGTAAGGAATGCCTCTTAACTCAACTTCAACTTTTATAGTATAGAAATTATTTTTAGGAAGATAATGATTGGTACATTTTTTTGTTCAACACATTTCATAATACATTTATTAAGAAATTATTATTTTTAACTTTAAATTCAAGGTAAAAAAAATTCTACTTACAAAATTTAATAGTTAAACCGGTGATTGTTAGTATGTGTATTGAATAAGACGATATAATAATCATTATCTATTTTTGAAATTAAGCCCAAAAAAAAACAATTAGTTAAGAGATGGAATGTTCAATCAATAATCTACTTGAGCTAATCCGTGGATCAATACAAAAATAAATTATCAAAATTTCATTTTCTTTTTTATCATTTTAAAGAGAATGATATATGTCAATTACCAAAAAAAAAAAAAAAAAAAACGAAGAGAAAAAGAAGTTACCACCTAAGCATGCTGCTTTTCATGGAGGGAGTATTCTGGTTTTGCTTGCTTTTTTCCCTTCATAATTGAAGTCGTAATTAGCACGCGTGTTAAATGGAGGTAAAAGGAGCTTTCTAAATTCTAAAGCAGATGCACAATCCATTAACAAATGCATATATATGTGTGTAAGTCATTGTTATTCAGAGTCTTCCAGCTACACATGTCACAAGTACTGTTTTCAAAAGCATTGAGCCCCATGATTTGAGTGTTTTGTAAAGATAAATTCTTGAGCCCTTGAATTGGATAGAGTTTATATATGCATTTATTTGATTTAAAAGGAAATCAAAGTGTTTAAATTATAATAGGCACTAATGATTGTTAGTTGTTGATTGGATATTAGTTATAAGTTAAAAATAATTAAATCAAATAAAGTTTATAATACAATAATTGTACCATTTCAGCAGTATGATAGGCCAAAATAATTTGATATATAAGTAAATAATAAAAGACTGTACTCTTTCCCTCAAAATGGAAAATTTTAGTGGTAATGAAAAAAGACTGAAGACCCTTTGGTATGACTGAAAACCCAAGACAAAAAACATGTAACATCAAAGATTTTTACATCTCTTTTTTTAGTAAGATAAAGATTTAATGTTTATTTGTTCATTATTGATTAGCTTAGTGATCATCTCCTGAGAAGGACGGTGTTTAGGACATCAAAGTTTTGAATTCAAATCCAGACATTCTCTCACTCACCCCAAGTTTCCCCAGTTCAAAAAAAAAAAAAAAATTCAATGTTCTTTTCCTTGATCTTCAAAATTTTATATGTGCAAAGGAAAAACGCATATTAACCACTAAAGAAAGTGGTATTCTTCAATTTTACTATTCTTTCCCCCCTATATTGCCTTCATAATTTTCAATGGTACATATAATTTCCAGCCTACGAAACATATTGAGGTTCGATGAATTGATATATGGAAGTATTACAATCGCTGAAAGAAATCGGCCATTTAAATTAGAGAAAGAGAGGAATATAATAATTCATGCATGCATCTTGCAATTTGCATGTGTTTTGGTGGAGATGGAAAAAGCTTCAAAGAAGCCTTTAAAAGTAAAGGGAGCTAATGGAATAAAGGAAATGATGCCGTCTCTGCGCACATTTTGGCAGCATAAGTAGTTTAAAAGGCAAGCTAAATATATCCACTGCGTTTTTTTTTTCTTTGGGAAGATCATGAGAAAATAATATCTAGCTATAAGATATATATATATATATATATTTGATCGGTAAATATATATTTTTTTGCTTGAGTATAATGGGTATTCTAATCCAATAAAGTACATAATTTCATACCAATCAATACCATACAACAAAAGTACTACTAATATCTTCTATTAAAAAATAACAATAATTTTTAAGATGCTCAGTTAAAAATAAAACATTTATACACCTTAAGAGATTTGTAGGAGAGTATCTAGCAAATTTCATAGAGCAAATGCCCTTATTAATAAATAAGTAGATAATAATCAAACATAAGCCAATCACTTCATATGTTTTCTTAAGGAAAGTGATTACATCTTTTTTATACAATTTTTTCATATAGACTTTCCATGTCATTTAATAATAAATTTTTTTTACTTTATTAAAACTTATAATATTATATATATTTATTTATTTAATTATACATAAAAGTTATAAATAAAAATGATACTAAAGGATTATACATATATCATTATCCTTTTCTTAATGCATCTAATTGCAATATAATAAAAAATAACACTTCTCTCCTCTCTTAAATCTTGCAACTTCAATTCCAATATTTGAAATTGGAGATGGATAGAGGTTACTCTTTGAGTGGTAGGTAAACTTGAAGGTGATATTGAATTTGGACGGGAATATTGGCTTTTGGGAGGTTGCAGTATCGTACGAGAAAATTATTCCTTGGATTGTGAAGGGTTTTTTTCCCTTTTTCTTTGGTTGTAGGCTGACTATTTGAGCACTCAACTGCTGAAAATTCCTTCCTTAGCATTTAAGAGATCTATATGGAAGCCAGAGGGTAGGAGAGTTCTTCCTTTCTTCCCTTCCTCCAAAACTATTTCCTTTTTCTTTCTTTATATAGTAACAAAAGAGTAGTGGCGGTGAGTGCTCCTTTTTCCACGTAACTCATGTCTGTGGACTGTCTAGAAACTGGGATGAATATACAACCGTTTACAGCCCAAAACTCAAAACCTGGTGAACGCAGTTTAATTTCTTAGATGGGGTGATGTGCCCCAATAGATGGACAAAGGCCCACGGAGAGTAGTTTGTTTTACATGAAATTTTGGTAAAGGAATTTGTACATTGAATCTCTTTACATCTCTTTAGTCTTTATAGGATGTTAAGCAGAAACCTTCATCTCACATAAAATAATAATAATAATAATAAATAAATAAATAAATAAACAAATAACAAGCAACATATATGCCTAAATTATTTCATATATTATCAATTAATTTCAATTTAGATACTTGTCACATTCAAGTGTTGGGTACCTATCTCAAAATTTTCACACTATCAAAATGCTAATCACGTTCTTTTCAAATTCAAGATTCACGTGAATAATTTCAGCCAAGCACCTTTTTTTAAAAAAAAATGTTTGTCCCAGTCAGACACGTTGGAAAGGTCCTAAAAATAAAGGTTTGGGACCATCTAAGGGTTTGATTAAACCCACCTATTATTTTTTAAAAGTCATTTAATTTTGTTTAATTTAATTATTAAAAATTAAAAATTAATAAAATAATTTATATTTATTATTTAACAAATTAAAATTAATTTATAAAATAATATTTTTAAATATCATAATTATTTGTCTAAAAAATAAAACTAAATAACTTTTAAATAATTTTAACAAAATATTAAATAATTATAACCACCCCCACCACCAAACCCCTAACTAAAACGTTATGGGCCATTTCACTTCTATTAAAAAAAAGGGTTATGGAAAATAATTAAGTAGGTAGGAAAGATCGTAGAGTGATTTCATAGTTAGTTTGTAGGGCCATCAAGGAGGAGGGGATTAAAGCTATAATTTTTTCTTTCTTTTTATTGGCAAAATTGAATTTATTAATTGAGAGCACAAGAGGATTAACACCGTGGTATGGTTACTGGAGGCAGTAGTTGGAGGGGATGGCGCACCACGGGCGGTGGATGGGTTGATGGGGTTCTCCCGTGATGCAGAACGTGATCCTTGTGGGCTGCGAAATGCATGTTGTCGAAGTAAAATTTTTGGGTTAGGCCGCTAGGGGTATAGGGATAGATTGCTGGGGTGATATGGGTGTTGATTATGGTTCTCTAGCTAGCAGTCAATCTGTATTCCATATGATGTAAGGTTTTTGGGCCCATCATGTTACCAGTTTTCTTTAATGGTTGTTTTTGTGTTATTCGGCATTGTTTTTCTATTTTATTTTGAGGGATAACTAGCTTAATGCTCATATGCTGCCTCTTTATGCTATAGTTAAGGCTTTAGAAACTTCAATGATTAAATTTATTGATAAGTAAATGTTATTTTGTAAATTAAATTTATATTTTAAATTTTAAGTTTAGTGTTCAATAAAATTAATTTTTTTAAATACATAAAACGATATAAGAGTGTATTTAAAGGTTGTTCAGTAAAATATTATTGTTGAGTTGTATAAAAATTAAATGAAAATATTTTAATGGTAAATAAAAAATAAAAAAAAATAAAAAAAAGAAGGCATTTAGGCATTGAATCGGTTGCGTGGTTTAATACATCTTTTGGGGTTTTTTCATTTTTTTCAGCCTCATTGATTTATAAATGGTATTGTCACTTTTCTTTTGACCCATTGGGATTTGCTAAGTAGTAAGAATGGATGAGAACCATACTTAAGAAATATAGGTTTAAGTCTTTTTTTATCAATTGAGTGTAAACAATTCAAATGCATCACGTCTACTAGCCTTCAAAGTACATAGAGCTATACCTTGTGCATGAAAATAATAATTAATGTGCAAGGCTAATGTTACATAGCTTTTCAAATAAAAAAAATTGTGCTAAAAATAATCAAAATGATGCTTAAATGAATATTATAATTATTATTTTTTACATATTTTGAGTTGCAAAATGGTGGTAACTTTTATCACTCCCTCATTCATCTCATTTGCATGTTTTTTTTTTTTTCAGCAACATACATGCCCATGATAATCTCTCTCACATAAAAGAGATCTAGATGACTATTAGAGCATATAATTGTTAAAATTTGATAATTTATATATAAATCTTACCTATAATATTTATACAAAATCTTAATTATTTATCTTTTCAAAATAGTTAAAATTTATTATGACTTTTTAGATAAAAAATAATTATTTTTAATAAATATAATAAAAAATAAATAAATCTTAATTATTAAAAATTAAAAAATGAATAATTAAAATTTTATATTAATATGATGTATAACATGTTTGTAAATAGACCTTAACTCATTTTACTATAATCACTTGATTAAGTTAAATTATGCTCAAACTAATCACATTGCTAAAACAAAAATATATGATTGTAATGTCAATGTGATATTATAAATTTATATTATAAAATGTTATTATATAATTAATTTTTTTTAAAATTTATTTGTGATATTGTATATATTTATTTAATACTATATTATTATTATAAATTTGTAAGTCTAGATAATAGTTATAACTATTACACTATGGTTGTTAAAATTATTTTATTAATGTAATTCCCATATTAACCTAAACAGCGCTTGAAGGAATCCAATTCCTAATTGCCCTCTTTACTCCCCTTCCAATTTTTTAGCAGAACGAAGTGACAAACGGCGGCCTTTCGGAGATCTCAAGAGTCCTGCCTGCCCCTCGATGTTTCCAAAGTTGTCTCAACTCTTAAGGTGGTCTTAACCCTCTTCCCTTCCTTTCCTCTGCAACTCCCCATACTCCTTTTTCCTGCACAATAATTCCCTTTCTTTTTTCCTCATTGATTTGCAGATAAAAGAGGGAGCTTGTGTAGTAATAAAGGTGTTAAATTTGACCCAGAAAGATAAAAAATGGCGACCCTTTATGCAACACATTGTGGTTCGCATTCTAAAGGGTATGCATATTCTTCATTTTCACCAATAAATGGGGTCCAGAATCAGCGGTTGGCCTTCTCTTCTTCTTTTCCATGGCGTGATGTCTCTGCTAAAGCTAACGTTGTTCTTCAATCTCGGAGAAATTCCCATCAAAAGGCTGTTCTTATGCAAGATGGTTAGTTTCAGTTCGTTTTTGTGCTTCATTTTATGGCTTCTGTGTAAGATAGATCCAAATGTTTGGATTGTTTGCTGTAAAGAGAGTCTTTGGGAATGATTTTAATGGCAATTTGCATGTTTGGGGATTTGGGAAATGTGTTAAACTATATCTTTGTTTAGCTGAATTTTAAAGTATAGGGTAAGTTGGGATATTGGATAAAGTGTGATATGGATTGAAGAACTCATTTTCTTTCATGTTTAGTTAGTTTTCTCAGCAACCAAACAGAGAATTTATGCTGCTTGTGGTAAAATTATTAATGACCATTGCCCCTTATTTGTCCTAATGAAATGGGATCCTGGGAAAGAATTGGCCATTATCCATCCCTTTGGCATTTTGATAAAGTGGGTGTTTTCATTGTTGCACTTGTCAGAGCAAGAATCTCAGGCTAACATTATTGCTTGATGAAAATTTTCTTCAAACTTTAGCTGCGTCCTATCATTTTCTTTTCCGAAATCAGTAATTTTCTTAAATTCCTATCTTATATAAATGTGTTGACCATGCATAGGTGCTGTGGCCACAACAGTGACCCCCATTAAAAATGAGACAACTTTGAAGAAATCAAATGATGCATCAATGTCAATTCCATCTTTGGAGGAATATAAAGATTTTGCAGGGCTGGATGTCAATGGAAATGAACCAACTGTAAGTATTACTGTGGTTGGAGCTTCTGGGGACCTTGCCAAGAAGAAGATATTTCCTGCACTGTTTGCACTTTATTATGAGGACTGTCTCCCTAAGGTTTAGATTTTTCTTTCTTGTAATTTTAATCAAGAGTTTCATTCCATCATTTAAACCAACTTAATTTATATACTTTTGATATTGCAAGCTTGTTAATTTTTTATGTGCTTGGCTTGATTTGGTTGCAGCACTTCACTATTTATGGTTATGCTAGGAGCAAGATGACTGATGCTGAACTTAGAAACATGGTTAGCAGGACCCTTACCTGTAGAATTGATAAGAGGTATATCCTGCTTTATTACTTTCATTTGTCAGTGGAACTTACATAACATTGTTGTCACTTGAAGCTTAAAATCACATAGTGAATTTGATTTTGCCATTTTCTTGCTCATAAAAGTCACCAATTTGTGACTTCTGATATATATTTTTAATTAATTTCTTTCTTAAAAAAAAAAAAAATTCCTAATCCTGAATTTTCAGGGAAAACTGTGATGAAAAGATGGAACAGTTTCTTAAAAGATGTTTCTACCATTCTGGTCGGTATGATTCTGAAGAGAACTTTGCACAGCTAGACAAGAAGCTCAGAGAGCATGAGGTAATTATGGCATAATCCTTGTAACTGGCTATTCTGATCATTCAGCATGTAGTTAAAATCCAATCTTGTCTCGGTGGTTTCAACAATTAATACATTGGTTTGGATACCATAGTCCTCTGTCAACATTTAGAGATGTGCCTATAATTTGCTAAAATAATTCTGCATTTTTTTTTTCTTCAGATCAGTTTTAATGTTTGAGTTGGAATATGTACATTCTCATTTTGGATATTTTAAATGACTCTGATGATTGTACAAAATCCAGTATGAGTAAAATGTTTTGACTAAAAATATTCGTGAACTAGCATTAATATGTCTATTGTGCAGTAAAATGGTTCTGCAACTTGAGAATTACTTTTATTTTAATGTTGTAGAACTGATTGTGCAGGGTGAGAGGGTCTCTAATCGCCTCTTTTATCTGTCCATCCCTCCAAATATATTTATTGATGCCGTAAGATGTGCAAGCTCATCAGCTTCCTCTGCTAATGGCTGGACCCGAGTCATTGTCGAGAAACCTTTTGGTAGAGATTCTGAATCCTCTTCTGCTTTAACAAAAGCCTTGAAGCAGTACCTGGAGGAGGATCAAATATTTAGGTTGAACTCTTTTATCCATTGTTGGTGCTTGTTATACAGAGTATGTTGACGGTAATCTGATATGGTTGACATTCTTTTTACAGGATAGACCACTACTTGGGAAAGGAGCTTGTGGAAAACCTATCTGTTCTTCGTTTCTCGAATCTCATCTTTGAGCCCTTATGGTCAAGGCAGTATATCAGGAATGTACAGTTCATATTTTCTGAAGATTTTGGCACTGAAGGACGTGGAGGGTATTTTGACCATTATGGTATAATTAGAGATATAATGCAGAACCATCTGCTTCAAATGCTAGCTCTTTTTGCAATGGAAACTCCAGTCAGTTTGGATGCTGAAGATATCAGAAATGAAAAGGTCTTTAGCAAAGTCCTGGAAATTGATCTGATTTTATTTGTCCCTCCATTTATGAATGCATTATTGATTGAATTGCTGCTTTACGCCAGGTCAAAGTTTTGCGTTCAATGAGACCTTTGCAGCTTGAAGATGTGGCTCTAGGGCAGTACAAGAACCACACAAAAGGAGGAGTTACTTACCCTGCCTACACTGATGATAAGACAGTGCCTAAAGACAGCTTGACTCCTACTTTTGCTGCAGCTGCTCTCTTCATAGACAATGCAAGATGGGATGGTGTGCCATTCCTAATGAAAGCTGGCAAAGCATTACATACTAAGAGGTATTTTGGACTTGATGAAGCAACCTAAATTAATATACTTTGTTGATCATAAAAGTTATCATTTGCATGTTTTGCTACTGACACTTATTTCAACCACAGGGCAGAGATAAGGGTACAGTTCAGGCACGTGCCTGGTAACTTATACAACAGAAACTTTGGAACCGATCTTGATCAAGCTACAAATGAGCTTGTTATAAGAGTTCAACCAGATGAAGCTATATATTTGAAGATTAACAACAAGGTCCCTGGTTTGGGAATGAGATTGGACCGTAGTAACCTAAACCTTCATTATGCAGCAAGGTATATTGGTTTTATGCAGAGATTCATTTTAGCTTATTGAATTTAGTACCTCAACCTCGTTGTCCTCACCTTGGTGATTTTTATCTTTCTACCTTTAAAACCTCTAATTTATTGGAATTTTTATTATAGATATTCAAAAGAGATTCCAGATGCATATGAGAGACTTCTGCTGGATGCAATTGAAGGTGAGAGGCGGCTGTTCATCCGAAGTGATGAACTGGATGCTGCCTGGGCACTTTTCACTCCTGTTCTGAAAGAATTGGAAGAGAAGAAGATTGTGCCTGAGTACTATCCTTATGGTGGCCGTGGCCCCGTCGGAGCTCACTATCTAGCAGCCAAATACAAGGTCCGGTGGGGTGATCTCACTGTAGACCAATAACTAGGAAAGCCTTCGAAAAGAATGTTACTTGTATTAGTGTACTCTGCAGTGTATCTAAATAATTGTGAGCCGGTATTTTGTTTATATCACTTTTAAGTCGTTTAGCTTTTGTCTGAGTGGAACCTTTTCTGTTTTACAAGAAAAAGAAAAATGGTTGGCTAACTAGAGCTTGCCATGTCGATGCAAAAAAATATAGAGCAAAATGATTCACAAACAACTTTACCTTGTAACAGTTTCATATTTCTAATGTGACAGTTATAAACTTATAATTATCTATTTTTCTTTGACGAGGTACATAAATCAATATGCAGTTTGATAACACGAGATGAAGTAAGAATTTATTTATACCCACACATTTTATATATCATATTTATAAAATTTTAATT